GGACTATATGTTTCTTGGTAGTCTATTTCTTTCTTCTGTTCGCAGCCTTTTATTACCAATCTTCCGATATCTTTCCGTTATTTTTAATTCTGAATACCCATTTGCTGTGTAGTGGTTTTTCTCCTTTAAGCTGAATTTCATCCAACACTTCCCAAACTTTATTTTCTTTAAATGAGTTTTTTTCCTCATTTATTACTTCTGTCCATCTTTCACTATCTTCATCCGTTACTGCTTCCTTATATGTTAAATGCACAAAATCTTTATATTTAACTGGCTCTTTATAATTAATTGGCATTTTCTTCTTTAATCTTGAAGATCTTCTGGGTAAAGTATCTCTTCTTTCAAAATATTCTCTTCTTCTTCCTCTTGTGTTTCTTCTGGTTCTTCTGCATCTACATAAATATCTTCGTTTTCTTCATCAAAATTTGCTTCTGAATCACTTTCTGTATCTTCTTCATCATTAATTAAAATTTTAGTCTTTTCCCTTTTTTTAGTTGAAGATTGAATCTTTTGCTCTTTCATCTTCTTGAATTTTACATCTCTAGCTGTAACTATTTTTTCCTTTCTTTATTCCAAAGTCTATATAAACCACAAGGAGCATATCCAACAAATTGGTAGCTTTTACTCCTGCTGTCTAATTTATTGAGTGGTCCCAAAACTTTGGCATAACATTCATTTCCAAAAATTTGCATATTTTTGAGATTCGGTCTTCTTTCTTCCCATAATTCATAAGGTGTTTTATCGGACTAGCTTGTCCGTGGGCAATCTGTTAAGTATATAAGTGCAGTGTATAATGCCTCTCCCCACATTTTCTTTTCCATTCTGCTGTCAAATAATAAAGCTCTCACTTTATCCATTAAAGTTCTATTAAGACGTTCTGCTTTTCCGTTCAGCTGTGGTGTATGAGGCACAGTTGTATCCATTTCTATTCCTTTACTTTTACACCACAAAGTCATTACATTATTAATGAACTCTCTTCCATTGTCGCATCTTAACTTTGCAACTTTTGCATTCCGTTTAGCTTCCACCTTGTTTACATATTCTTTAATTTTATCAATTGCTTCATTTTTCGTTTTAAGCAAATACACAATAGTGAAATGCGTATAATCATCCAACAGAGTAATAAAATATTTATGTCCATCCCAATCGGGATCTATTGGGCCACATAAATCCGTATGAATCAGCTCTAGCGGCTTCTTTGCTTTCACTCTTGTAGTGTCAAACTTTGATCTTGTTTGCTTTGCTTCCATGCAAATTTTGCATACTTTATCCATTTTATTTATTTGCGATACAGGTATATCTATACCGCTGCTAATCTTCATGAGAGTTTTCATACTTTTATATCCTGTATGTCCCAATCTTCTATGCCACAATTGTGCATCATCACATGTATCTTCCGTAAGATCAGTAGTTTCTTCAGAAAGAAAAGAATTTTCATTCTGTTCTGTTTTTAATTTTACTTGATACAGACCATTTTTGAGCCTATCACCTTTTAATATCGTTTTAATATTATTGAATGTTTTTACTTCTTTGTCAAAAATTTTAACTTCTTTATCCGTAAAAAGTACCTTGCAACCATTATCTGTTATGGCCCGTACCGAAAGAAGATTTGTGCTTAAATTTGGAACATAACATCTTTCAAATTACATTCCTTAAATTCCAATTTACCCGATCCTCTTGCTTTTGGATTCATTAACCTTCGCTACTCCAATCTTTATGTCAATCTTCTTATTATTTTTTACACTTAAATTTTTACACTTATTCGTCAAGTTTGTTGAACTTCCCGAATCAACAATCCATTTTTCTTCTTCATCTAACTTAAAAGCTAGATAAGACAACTTTATCTTCACTATCATTCTTCTTATTTTTATTCTTTCTAAAATAACAAGCTTTATCAGTGTAATTAGTTTTCTTACATATACTGCAGCCTTCATCTGATTTCGTCTGTTTATCCTTACATGCTTTCTCTACATGTCCAACTTTATTGCAACGATAACATCTCACCTGTTT